TCAAACAATATTTCCAAAGGAGTAGACTATACATTTAGTGCTGTTATGGCATGTTTAGCTGGAAGCCACAAGGGTCGTGTTTTACTTGTACAGTATAACGAAACATAAATAATTACAGAATGTAAGGGGTTGGAATTCATGTAGTTGCAGGGATCTGCTACCATAGCATCCTCAAAAGTTGGCCATCCCGCCCATTTGAACATTTACAGCAAAAGAGAATTCACCACCTCCTAATGTGGATTTGTTTTTCTTGCAGATTTGCCCAGTTTGTGATCTAGCAAAACATCCAGATCCCTTTTGTGCATATTGCTGCCAGTACAGTTCCCCACTGTCCCTATATTCTATATTCAGTGTTTTGATTATTTTTTTCCTGCTTGAGTGTAGGGCTCTGCATCTGTCCTTGTTGAAATTCATCTTGCTGATTTATGCTTACTCTTATAGCTTAACATCCTCCTGAAATTTGATAATATCCTCCATTTTTGTGTAATCTACAAATATGAAAAAACATGACACTCATACTTTCTCCTATTTTGACATGGAGCCACAGATGTATACGGATTAGATATTATTGTTTAACCACCTCTATCCACCTAATGGTAGCATAGTTTAGTCCACATTTTGCCATCTTCTTTGCTAAAATCTTGGAGTGGTGTAGGGGGGAATGCTAACTAGTATTTTAAAATCAAGGTACCCTTTATCCACCATACCCTTTATCTGTATATCCACCATACCCTTTATCTGTAGTCAACTAAACTATCATTCTATTAAAAAGAGTAATCATGTTGATTTGGCAGGAATTATGCTTGATAAACCCATGCTTGCTCCTGCAAAGCAATGCATTGTTTTGGAAAAGCTCACAAATTGCTTAATAAAGCATTCCAAAATTTGGCTTGTTATTGACATTAAGATAATTGGCTTGTAGTTCTCTGGGTCCACTTTATTCCCCTTTCTGAAAATAAAAATAGCTTTGCCTTTTCTTCGATCCTCTGGCACTTGATCCAGATTCATGCTTTTTCAAAGATCACAACCAGTATAAAAGCTTTTCTTTACAGACTTGGGCCTTTCTCTCACATTCCTCCATTTCTCCACATGACTTTTTCTTATGTTTTGGAGGTTCCTTGCTCCCACTCTATCTCCAAAAATGCTTCCTGTTTCTAATTCAAGTAACTCTCATCTTTCTGGATAAGCTCAATGGGGCACTTTTGCCTTTACATCCTTCACCTTCCCTTTCAGGAGGGCAGTCAGACTGCATTTGTTACATAAATAGCTTATGTCATCATCAGAAAGAAAAACAAACATGGCATGTCTCTTACAGTTTACAAGAACAGTTTTCCTCTAGTATGTTCCTCTGATAAACAAAACAACAAAAAGAATTTCTTCACCCTTGAACTTCGCTATGAACTCCTGTTTGTTTATTCAGTGAATTCTTTGTATCTTATGTGTTCCCGAAGCTATCTCAACTAGACCACCAACAAACAACGCTCCAATCACACACTTCATTTATAAATGGTAAGATCTATATACCAGCAGAATAGTCAACCTATAGAATTCCCCATCTTTGGAATTTTTAAGAGGCTGGACAACCATTTCTCATGGTTTATGTAACTGCTTTTCCTGAATATGGTAGAAAATTGAATTAGACAATCCTTCCCAATCCACAATGTTATGTTTTTACACAATACAATAGCAGCAGTTATTAGCAGTGGCAATTATTTATTAGACTTTCCATCTTCTTGATTCTTGTTCTCTTTTCTGCCTCTTTCCTCTGCTCAGCTTACTCCCTGCCAAACTTCTGTTTACTTTTCCTGTTCATTCATTCATTCAGTAAACTGTGATTTCTTAAGGAAGTTACCTGATCAGAAAATGAAAGAAGATTAATCTCAGCAAGATTCATTCTTGACAAATACATACTGCCTATTGGTATTTGCTTCATTGCTTTCAAGATGTCTATAGGCCAATTTCTTGATATTATAGAATGTTCTCTGGCATTGATGTCAGACTGATTATTGTGCAATAGGGCGTCCCTACTGTAAAAAAGTTGTTTTGTTTCAAAACCAAAACACATAGTGATGCTTAAAAGTGGTTTCCCACTTTATGAATCCTTTTGAATGTTATTTCTGCATACAGTAAATACAATGTAAAGCACAATCTGTTCTCCACACAGATTCTGAAACTAAATAAAGAGAACTCAATTAAACCAATGAATTAAAAACACAATTCTTGTTTATTTAATTACTGAGGAAACTAATTCATATCTGGAAAACAGATGTTTTAGATCATGTTTATACAGAAATATTGAAAATTCAAAATGGTTCATAAACTTTTAAGTACCACCAAATTTCAGCTCAGAAGTACTGTCAAACAGTTCAGGATGAGCTATAATTTGGCAGCAGCATTTTGGTAGTTCCTGATTTCAGTCAAGATTAAATCCAGAGGTCTTACTGAGTGAATAGTGTAAGATTTGAGTTCTTAGTCCTCTGACTCACTGTACTTCACATGACCTGTGTGTTGGCCTGCTACCCAATCTTCCTGGAGCCTTTCTTTCTCTACCACTCCTTATGCTACAATGGGAGCAAAGGACATTGTTATATGTTAAGTAAAGGTAGAGAAAGGAAAGTCCTGGGAAGAATATGGGTTCATGAGATAAGAAGATGGATATGCAGCCTACAATTGAAGCTAAGGACCCTGGTGATGGCTATCCAACCAGCCCACATGCTCTTAATTTGCCAATTTTTAGCCATCGTTCACTATCATTTATTTAAGGTTTTGTTTTCCCTTTTGCCCTGTTCTTTAGATTTTTTGGTAGAATATTTGCTTATTAATGACCAAAAGTAGGAGTTGAGTTGGTATGTCTCTTCCCTGCTAACATTTTACCATCTCCAATGAACAGCGGATATACTGATTAGTTTATTTGGGTTTTCCTTTAATATATCTAACAAAATCCTTTTGGTTAATATCCTTCACAAACATAAGTTTATTTAAGCTTTTACTTTGGAGTCCTTGGTGCTCTCTGAGCTTTGTCATGTGCTGATTACATAACACCTTCTGTACTCGTTCCTTGACAGCATCTCTACTGTCTGGTTATCTGTTGGTACTCTTTTCTTGGTGATTGGGCATACTTCAGCTTTCCTATATTATGTAGTGTTTTTATTTTCAGTTCCTTACATATTCTGTAACTTCATATTCTATGTCTCACTAACCCCTATTTCCCCAAGATTTGAAATGTAGTGCACTGACAAAAACAAATGTCACTTTGGCAAACCTAAGCATTTTCTACTAGTACAAAGCATTATTGATTCCATTTTTCTTCAGTGCAGTCTATTCCTAACTAAGGATGCATTGTAGTGGGCATCATTCCCACATAATCACTTCGTTATGCTAAGTTAAATCAGTCAATCAACAAATTACAACTAACTATAAACTGCCAACATTTCTACTACATGTGAAAAACAAGTAAACAAACAATGGAGGAATAAGTGAACTATAATCTACTAGCCTATCAGAAAAAAAATTACCATGAAATATATTTGCTGTGATATCATTTGACCTAGATTTTTTAAAAAGTGATTATTTTCAATTCTAAGGTCTATTGTTTTAAAAAGAATGGTGGTTGGAGAGACAATCTGTCACATCAAAATGACTTCTACATGAGCCCGATTTTGCTGAATTTTGACACAACATATGACAGCCAATATATATATATAATTGTGTACCTCAATATCAAATGAATTGGACTTAACAATCATATTTTAGACAACCTTTCTAAAGGTTCAGTTCATAATATGTATGAAAAAATTTGTTGTTGTTAATTGCGAAGTCGTGTCCGACCCATCGCGACCCCATGGACAACGTTCCTCCAGGCCTTCCTGTCCTCTACCATCTTCTGGAGTCCATTTAAGTTCACGCCTACTGCTTCAGTGACTCCATCCAGCCACCTCATTCTCTGTTGTCCCCTTCTTCTATTGCCTTCAATCTTTCCCAGCATTAGGCCCTTCTCCAGTGAGTCCTTCCTTCTCATTAGGTGGCCAACAACTTTCAAAGTATACTTGCTTTATATTATGGCAATTTAAAAAAAAATGGAATGAATAAACATGTTCACTTTTTTTTACAAGTTAAACTAACTATAATAGAAGAAATGAAAAAACACACACTCCAGATTTTACAAACTTTCTTCAACTAAAAAAGTGAATTCTAGTAAGGTCCAAAATAAATGCTTTATGGGTGCTCAAGTAGATAACACAGTTTTATTGTCAGAGATTGGGCAAATGGATATGCCACACGTGAAGGTGAAGATACTCATAGTGGGCATGGGTAGGGAAGATGGGGGAAAGAAGGTCCTAGGAAGATCAAAGGTAAGCAGTATGTTAGTAATTACAATTTCTATAAAAAGTAACTGAGAATAAGTCAGAACCAGAACCAGAATTATTTAAAGAATACAAATGCAATTATTCACAGTTAATTTAATGCCTTTTTCAAAGATTCTGAATATATTTTTTTAAAAAATTGGTCTGCTTAAAAATGGAAGTGATAGCTTTGTGTCTGCTTCCTTTTAAGCACTACCAATTTAACACTCCCTTTATACAAGTAGTCCTCGACTTAAAACCATTTACTTAGTGACTGTTTAAAGTGAAAAAAGCTACAATCAATCCTTGCACTTACCACCATTGCAGAATCTTCAATTATCAAAACTTAGGCGCTTAGCAACCAGCATGTATTTACGAAGACTATGAGCCCCTTCCCAGCTTCCCAGTTTCCAAAAAGCAAAAGTCAATGGGGGAAGCCATTGCTTAATAACCGCATAATTAACTTAAGAACTCCAGCGATTTGTTTTAACAACCATGGCAAAAAGTTGTAAAATAGGGTGCAACTCACTTAACAACTTTAGCAAGAGAAATTCTGATCCCAATAAAGTAGTTGTTAATTGAGGACTACTTGTATTTTGGATTTAAAACTTCTGTTACTTGCACTGCAAAAAGAACACCCCCAAGTTAGAATCCTACCTTCTACTCTCCAGTGGACGGCCATCACTAGAAATACTGCGTGGAATGTTGGCGGCCCGATCCGGAGGAGGCATTTTTCCTTCACCTTTCCCTGAGGCAACCCTAGTGGTAATCGGACTTTGCATCTGGGATGGCATTTGCTGAACATGAGAGGCTTGTCCCTTGTTAGCATTTCTCTGCCACTTGTTGTTATTTCTGAATGGGAATTTGAACTCATATGGAACTCCACCATCATTCATTTTGTATTCCATTACTGGCATGCGATGAATTTCTGAAAAACTTCTGGAGGATTGAAAAGTAAGGTTAAACAAAGTATGTGTCGATTGATGACTCTTATATATAGACATGATAGACACATAGAGAACTGATAGATAAGACACATGGAGATAATGCAACCACAGCTGGGACCAGAATCTCAGTACTTGTGTGAAACGGCTGTTAAGCAAATTGTCACATGACTGTCCATGTGATTGCTTTACTCAATGATTGCAATCCTGGCACTTCCAGTTGCACATGTTAAGCAGTCACTGGCTGGGCGATGTTGTTAAGTGGACAGAGTCCAGATAAGAACCATGGGGCACTTCTATGGGGGTGGGGGAGACCCTTGGGGTCCATGCTGGCTCAGGAATTCTGGGAGTTGAAGTCCACGAGTTATACAAGAGCCAAGGTTGCCTACCCCTGGTTTAGGAGCTGCAAATCCTCCTTGCCAAAATCCAAGCAGGATTTTCAACCCCTGAGGGAGAGACATTTATGCATGGTCTATACCAGGCCTCCCAGGGTCTTCACTATATCTGAATACCCCCACGTGTCTTAACTTACTACACTGACTCTCCACTCAAGAACTGAAAATCCTTCCTGCCAAAATCCAAGCAGGTTTTTCATGCCCTGAGCAAAGAGACACTTGCTCCAGCCTGATCTGGGCCTTCCCCTCCCATCTGCTTGGATTTTGGCTCCCTCTCATCTCTAGGGGCTGGCTGAAAGAGCTGCCTACCAAAGGATGTCAGCTCCCATTCATGTGCAGAAGGGAACTCCTTCTCCGGGATGCAGACATGGGATGCAGACATTTAAATCATCAAGATTTAAACCGGAGCTCTCCTCTGTGCTTGGAAGGAAATGCCTTCAGCGGAGTGCAGGAACAACTCTTAGCTCTTTAGACCCACTCTTCCAAAGGAGGTCAGCTCCCTTTCATGTGCAGAAGGGACTGCCTTCAATGGGATAGAGTAATGTGCCTCCACCCTGTGTCTCTATCCTGCCAAAGGAGTTCTGTTTTCCTTGGCAGGAAGCTCTTTAAGCCAACACCCCAGAGATAGAGGGAATACTATGGGCAGGCAGCAGCAGCTTGTAATGTTCCCAGCCAGCATCCCTATTGGTTTTCTTGGAAAACTGATAGATTATAAATGGTGATCATATAATCGTGGGATGCTTGGCAACAAATTGTAAGTATGAACAGGTTGCCAATCCCCCAATTTTGATCATGGAACTGATGGGCGGGAGGGGATTTTTATGATGACTGGAAGTGCTTTATAAGCTATATAGCACCCTTTCTCAGTCTGTTGTAGCTTCAAATGGTTGTACCTTTAGATAGGATTCACAGACAAAGATAACAGATATATAGATAATAGACACATACTGTAATAATAGATAATAGACACATGGCTGCTTTCTAGGGCTGAGAGTGACTGGCAGAAGATCACTTCACTGGCTTTGTACCTAAAGTGGGACTAGAACTTACGGTCCCCTAGTTTCTAGCCTGATTCCTTAACAAACTGATTCTCTTTTAATCAGTGACAGATATTAATTCACTGGTTTCCAAATACCTTCGTGGAGTACAATCTTCATGAGGTGGGATAATGACAACCTTCACAGTAACTGAGGTTCTCAGGAGATCAATCATTTGCTCATGGCTTAGGGTAGCGACAGCCACAGTGCAAATTTCCACTAATCTGCTGCCTTGTCGTAATCCTGCTTGCCAAGCATAGCCATATGGTTCAACATCTGCCACAATTCCTTCATAGTTCACATGGAAGCCAAGCTGACCCAATCCATTCCGTCGTAAAGTCATTTCCACTGACTCACATCCCTTGGTCACGAGCTGAGAATTGGAAGACAGAGATGTGGAGATGTAATGGGAACAGTTTAGTACAATGAGCTGTATTCAGTAGGAGACACAAATAAATAGGCTAGATCTTTAAAACAGAGTGTGAAGCTGTCATTGCTTATTCATACAGCAATTATACTATATACCTCTGAGGAAGATAGCTGGATTACTACTGAGTAATAATCTCCAGCTTAGTTTGATCTTGTATAAATCACTAGCTATATTCCAATACTAGCTGAAAATTATGAATGCTATACAAACTTTAAACGTAGCAATTTATGAAACAATACCCACAGTAATAGAGGATTTGTAGACTAAGTCATTTACAAATTGGCAAAAGCCATTTAATTATTAAATCTTATATTGACTTGACATTCTTTATAATTCTGTTGGTAAGGAATTCTTTGTTTTCCTATTTTATGTCCTGTTCTTAAAAGATGGTCTTAATAATATTTTTGAATGCTGAAAAATATTAAGTCTTTTCTCATGGCATGGAAAATATTGTTTTGATTTAATAAATAACATTTCTGCAGCAAAAGTGTAAATACTATTATATTAAATACACTAGCCAGACCTTAATCTGGACAAAAAGTAGATGAATAAGCAACAAGGTGTTTTATTGCTCTGATTGGATAGAACAAAAGGATTTAAAAAATAATCTAACAAGTGGGTGGACCAATGCCAGGTACAAGAAATCAGCAACCAGGATAGAGTTCAAAAGTACTACAAGTTTATTTCATGCTACCTACACAAGAGTCTGATCTACTAATAATAAAGATGAATTAGCGCTAGATAAGAGTCAACGGACTTCAAAGGGAGTTGGATTTAGGTCTCTTACAGGGACATAGAGATTCCAGACTAATGATGTATTTGACCTCTGGTCATCTCCTATATCCATTTTATTTTGCTAGTTTATTGCTCAGATCCGAGAGAGAAATTAAAGCATTTCTATATGTATTTATGCTTGAGGAAGGAAGGTAAGGGGAAAATAAGGAATTCTAACCTCTAGTCTTTTGACAATCTCCTTGATATCTTCAGGGTTTCTGAAACTTTCCACAGAAACACATTCTCCTCTTTCATAGAAAATTTTGACACTTGTATCTGTTGAAGTCCACCCTATTACATCTCTGCAGGAACAATTGAATACAACACTTTTTGTATCTTGTTCAATTACAACAACAAATTCATTGGAAATGCCCAAAAGACATTCTATATCTACACCCTTGCTATAGTCTTTAGCATGGAGAATCCAGAGAACAGCGCCAGAACTATGGAGTTCTACTCCTGGATGAGGTTTAGATTTCTCCTTCTTCTTAGAAGCAAGTGAGATAAAAGGGAATTTGCCAGAAGGATCAATAGGTGTATTTGTCACATTCTTTTCTGCCAAATCTTTCAAGTATTCCTGACGGGTTCTAGTAGCCATAGCACGGAATTTTTCTGATTTATGAGCTGCATTCTCAGCATTGATCACTTTGGCCAGTAAGAAGTCCCTGAATACATTTGATTTAGGAAAGGTGATGCCTTTAGGAATTGGAGGTCCAAATGAGGGCACATCTCTTGATCGTGTCACAGCAACACTGAAAAATACATACAAATGTGATTTAAAACAATACGCAGAAACATTATACATTTCAACGTGCTATATATTTTTTTGTCTTTAGACAGTCCAGTTCCACAGAGAGGAGACTCTGTAACAACCGCAAGATGCCTCATGACATAAAAAATCAGTGATTAATTAGTCTGCTTTTTTTAAAATTTCTGCACTATACTGTATATCTATTTGAGTATTCTATATCAATTACTTTTGCATCATCATCATCATCATAATGTTGGAAGGGACCTTGAAGGTCATCTAGTCCAACCTCCTGCTCAAGCAGGAAACCCTATACATTTACATAAGATAAATATATTTATTGTCAATAGCATTTTACATACATCTTTATTCTTCTCCAAACCTCCAAACTATAAATTACATTTTTTCAAATGAAGTTACTTGGCAATAAAACATTTAAACATTAACAGTTTGCAAAATTCAATTTTTTATTTGCTCTCTGCAATATATGTTTGTTAACACCCACCTCCACATGTCCTGAAAACATAAAAGAAATACCTTGAATTGCTCAAATTTTTAACTATTCCCTCCCAGAGTTACAAAGAAACAAGCACTTGCTGCTTAGCCAGGAGATTATTTTTAAACACTTACTGGGAATGCTACTTCTATTGCTCCTTAACCAAAGAGAAAAGAAGCAGAAGAGTAATAGATGAATTTATTGGTGGAAGCGAGAATTATATGGAAACTGCAATAATGCAAACCATCTTTTTAAAAAAATGTAAAATAGTAGAACCACAATAGAACGTTAATGAATGTGAACCATTGCACTGGTTATTTAGCAGGATCCAATCTTTTTTTTTTTAACCAAACTTTTTACATTGGAATTTATGAAAATCTTATTGGCTTGAGTGACAACAGGTTTCCACTGCTCAGATTTTGTTTTAGCTCAAAGTGTCAATAGAAGAGTCCATGCCATACTCACTTCACCCTAGTATTTTGAGAATATGACAACATTGTTCAGCTGCTAATTACATCATAGTCTGTTGCTTTCCTTTCAAGCTCCCTGCTCCCCACCAGCCCAAAATGTGTACTGGTGGATGCCACTGGGCTCCTACTTATCCCAAACAACTGTACTAAAAAAAGGTCAACATTATCTCCATGGGTATTTTTTTTATTCTTATATTAGGGAGACACTTCAAAAATATTGTAAATGATATGGGTTCTGATTCTGGAAAGAGTACAGAGAAGAGCAACAAAGATGATTAGGGGACTGGAGGCTAGAACATATAAGGAACGGTTACTGGAATTGGGTATGTCTAGTTTAACGAAGAGAAGGACGAGGGGTGACATGATAGCAGTGTTCCAATATCTCAGGGGCTGCCACAAAGAAGAGGGAGTCAAGCTATTCTCCAAAGCACCTGAAGGCAGGACAAGAAGCAACGGATGGGAACTAACCAAAGAGAGAAGCAACCTAGAACTAAGGAGAAATTTCCTGACAGAACAATTAATCAGTGGAACAACCTGCCTCCAGAAGTGGTGAATGCTCCAACACTGGAAGTTTTTAAGAAGAGACTGGACAGCCATTTGTCCGAAATGATATAGGGTTTCCTGCCTGAGCAGGGGATTGGACTAGATGACCTCCAAAGTCCCTTCCAACTTTTTATTATTATTATTATTATTATTATTATTATTATTATTATTATTATTATTATTATTATTATTATTCTGGACAAAAAAGGGAAGGGAAGAATGGGAAGGCAGTAAGACTATGAAATGCGTCTATGAAGAAAGAATACTAATTATATTTACGAAGATTATAATGAGATCAGGGTGATGTAACATTATTGTTTAAGCCCTATCCCCCAAACAGATAATACAATCATAGTCTCTTCTTTCCATTTTAAGGGTCTTACCAATTTAAGTTTTCAAAACAACTGTTAATAACAGTTCATTGTTAATTATATATTTCTGAAATATTCTTTTTTGTACTACTATTTCTTTATGTAGAAACACATGGGGTTATTTAAGAAGAAGAACATATGAAACAAATAACCAATATTTATATTTCTAATACATTAGAGAGAAATATATCCTCAGAATTCTATTTCTCAATCACTAATGTTGAAAGGTTTAATTTATATGTCTTGGATATTTTCCAGGGGAAGCAAAATATAGCCATCTTTCAGAAATAGACATTCTGCTTACTAAATGAGCATTCAAAAGAAATTCCACTGCATATAAACATTGTGGGATAATCACTACAAATCTAGTATATAAAATACATTTGGTTTTCATTCTGCTCTGCAAAGCCACTATCTCTAGTTTCAAACTATTTAACTCACATATGATCATTTTTGATAGGAAAAATAGAAATACTAAACAGTTCTCAGATTTCCATTTACTTCTAATTGCATCTAAAATATTTTACTGAGAAGTAATAAAATAAATTAGAAAAAGCTCTGATCAAATATTGCAGCTTAATGCAAGTAGTCCTCAACTTACAGCCATTTGTCTTGCGACCATTCAAAGTTACGACAAAAAATGGCTTGTGATTGTTTTGCACACTTACGACCACTGCAGCATCCCCATGATCACATGATCAAAATTAGGGTGCTTGGAAACTGGCATGTATTTATTACAGTTGCACTGCCCTGCCAGCTACCGACAAGCAAAATCAATGGGGGAGGCCAGATTTCCTTAACAACTGCACGATTCACCTAACAATCACAGTGATCTGCTTAGCAACTGTGCCAAAAAAGGTCATAAAATGACACACAATTCACTTAGCAACTGCCTTGCTTAGGAATAAAAATTTGGAGCTCAATTGTAGTCAAGGATTGCCTGCAGTTATTTATCAAATTTGCCGATCTCACTATCTACATGATTCTAGGTCAGTGTTTCTCAACCTTGACAATTTTAAGGCATGTGGACTTCAACTCCCAGAATTCCACAGCCAGCAATGCTGGCTGTGGAATTCTGGGAGTTGAAGTCCACATGCCTTAAAATTGTCAAGGTTGAGAAACACTGTTCTAGGTGGTTAATAAAAGGTAAAAAGTTATCCTCTGTCATGCAAAACCATCATAAACACTGTAATAGTTACCTGTAACAAACGTTGTCAGTACAAGGATTGTGCACTCGGACAATGACAAAGACATGCTGAAAGTGAGAACGAATATTCTTTGGGCTGAATGATTCGGCTCCAGGTTCTTGGAAAACTATTGTCACAATATCATTCCCAATGTGTCGTTTTCTTAACAGCTTTGGTCATGAAGACAAGAAATCCATGAGAATTAAAAGCATTAATATTGTTATAGAATGTAATTGTTTGCATTAGTTCATGTTTTAAAATGTAAAAACGCCTGATGGTTTTTAAAAATTGTTCCTAAAATAAATAATGAAGAATTTATCAATATAAAATGTTAAAATAAATTAGTACTTGCAGTTTCCATAACAACCATTAAAGATCTACCTTAATGCAAAGAAATGTCTTTCCATGAGTAGATTTTGTTTCTAAAATTAAATTTACAATCATAAAAATTTTGTTATTATGTTTTTGTCTATTTACTTATTTATTCTAAATCTTTACAAAATGGTGACATTTTTAATCTAGGCAATACTTTTCAATATATTAAAATTATGATTTAATTTTGGCAGACTTATCAATTTAATTAATTTTCTTTGTGCTTTTCAATTCAGGTTATATTTTCAAAAATTATTTCTCAGGAGAAAAAACCCTCAAGTTTCTTATATTTACAACAAAAGATATGTTTGATTTAACATGAAATCCAAACTATTAGATATGAACAAAGTTAAACCATTACAAAACTTTTTCAAAATCCAGATATGTATCTGTAAAATATGCATTTTTCTCAATTCAGTCCAAATAATAATTAACAACATTTTAAGCATTTCAAAAATAATCCAAAGGAGAGCAGGGGAAGGTCAATTTTGTCAAGATGACAAGTGTGACCGGGCAAAAATGATTTCTTTGGCTAACTACTTTTCTGCAGTTAGAAAGTTCTTTCCACCCCTCAGAACTGTTGACAAAATAGTACTTCAATCCTAGAAAAAGTCTTCTTTTACATAAAATCTTCCATAAATCATGGTCCTAGCTCCTTAATACATGTTTATAGCTCACTACTATGCATAATCCATATTTTATAAAACTTATTTGCACTACTGTAAAACTATGCTTTATAAATTGTGTTTCTAAAATTATAAATTTTCTGGCTTTTGCTTTCAATTGTATAACATTTCACAAAATAGCCTCTTTGTCTCTTTCTCTCCATCTCCTTTTCTCTGCTAAAAATACAAACCTAACTTCGGTGTCGTATATACTGTCCTGTGACGTCTTTCATCTTTGTATACCTTAAACCTCGTATAGGACAGTCTCTAAAGTATTTATGACGGTACCTCTTAGTCGTATAGTAAGTATCAAAAAATACCACCTTGTCGTTATACTCGGGGTGGGACCGAGGTAGTCTATTTGTCAGACGTTTGTTTAATTTGATTCATATGCTGATTATTCTGAGGCCTAGCTTGGTAATACTTTGCCTTGCAAAGAGCAGTAGGTCCCACAAAAATATCCAATTACTAGTGCAGATATCTGCATGGAGAAGGTTGCTATTCTGTCAGTGCCATTGTTACTCTGAATATGCTCCAGGCCACATTTTATTCTTACAGTACAATGTCAGTAGTAAATATATTGGATTGATATGAACTTAAAAATCAAAATCAAATTCTAAATAGCATGAACATCCAACATGTCTGTAAATATGGTTTTCCAGAATGAGATAAAGTAACTTCAGCTTAGGTGATTGAAGTAAAGGAAAAAAAAATCTCCAAAACATCTACACTGGGGTAAAAAGTTCTACACACTCTTTCTTTTAATCCCCAAATTAGTTTTGTCCTATGGTGCCATTTTTGTTGCCCATTCAGATTTGCTTATTTATTTAGATATTTTAAAGAGATACACTAGTATAAATGAAACCTGTCTAATCAGTGATAAAAACTGAATGTACTGAAAACAGAAAAAAATAGTTTCCACCTCCTTTTCATGGCTTCATCACAGAATATGAGATACTATGAGATACAAGAGAACCCAATATTTGTTTCAGTTAGTCGAGTTGGGCAAAAGAGTAATTTAATGTAAAGTCTGAAATAAGCAATTAAATATTCTGATTATTCAACTAGTTCCTACCTGTTGTTTGTTGTTGGGTGTATATGGCAACATTGTAGAAACATGAAACATGATTTCATAGTCTTTATATGTTGTATAAAGAGAGTGGGTACCAGTTGAATCAGCTGCAAATAAATAATATAAAGAAAAGGTCTAATTTATTATTATTATAAATAACACAATCCACAAGATTGTGAAGATACATTTAACCAAGCACAAAATCCATGTAATGTTTATTCTAAAGCAAAATAAGAAATAGAAGTATTACTTATTTTTAATTTTATATATTTTAATATATTATGTTTTATACACGTTATAAATTCTAAGGGTTGCCAGAAAAACCAAAAAGATACTCAAAGGTGGATATGCTAGAAACCATATAACCATATAATGCAGAGGTTTTTGCAATACTTTTCTTACAATAAATATTGTATGCTTACCTATTATCATTATAAAATAGAACTAAACTAGTGTTATGTCTTTGCAGGTGTCATTTCAACATTAATCTTTTGTTCTGTATAATAAACTATTTTTTTAAAATTGAGATGATTTATTTAGATTTACTTCATCCTATCATTAGTGTTACAGATAAATTATCATATCTGTATGCCATAAATATCATAGGTAAATTCACATATTCAGTCCAGGTTTAGCAGGTTTTCTAAGTTGTCCTCTTTACAATAAAAGCTAGTAATGAGAATTTGATACTTCTTCTCAATGCATCTATGTTAATATTGTCTGGTATCCAGACTTTAAAAACTTTGACTACTGTCAGAAGCGAACCATACTTTCCATGACAAAGGGAAAGGAAACTAAAATTCCATCAATTGTATTTATGAAACAAAATATTGATAACTGGAAATAAATGCAAACTATAGATATAGTTTTATTTGGAGTGATTAATATGTTATCATTTTATAGCTATATATTCGCATTTATTTTATTAGATTTTTTTTTATTTTTAAGTATGGGTCAACATTTAAATTTAGTAATTTATCTAACAATGAGTATATGTCAAGAATATCTTGAGTGATATATTTGGTGAGATTTATGAAGTCATTTTAGGAAATACCTTCATGATTATCTCTTGAGAATTAGTTAACATATGAAAACCTCAAAATAGACCTTGCTTGGAAAATGAGATACAGGTAGTCCTTGATTTATACTCATTTGTTCAATGACTGTTTAAAATTATGGGGATGCTGAATGAAGGGATATACAACCAGTCCCCAAAGCTATAGCCATTGCAGCATCCCCATGAGCATATGACCAAAATTCAGGCACTTGGCAACCTGTCCACACTCACAACCACAGGATGCTTCAACTCTCCCACCCGTCCATCTCCCTGATTTTGCCCTTTTGGCACCCTGCACTCTATGGCCCCCTGCTGCCACAGTTTATCTTCATCATCTTCTTACTCACACTGCTGAACAAGCATGCCTGGCCTAGTCCTCAGTGAGACAGCTGCAAACCACACAAGGCTTTCTTCCCAGGGTTGCACATAGCGGTTTCCTTGCAAGGCCTAGGAAAGATGGTCTCTCTTGGCCAGCAGCTGCCTTGCGAAGGGCCAGGGTGGGCATCCTTGTAAGCAGCAGGAATAAGAACATGGTGAGGGGGCAGAGCGCAGGACAGCAGGGACCATGGAATACAGGGTGGTGATGGTGAGTGTGGCTGGGACTAGGCTGGAGTACCTGATGTTTCCTGAGTTGGCTCCAGCATTGTGCTAGGGCAGTGGTGGCGAACCTATGGCACGCGTGCCAGAGGCAGCACTCGAAGCCCTCTCTGTGGGCACATGCACCGTTGCCCCAGCCCCGCCTCCTCCCACGGCCCCCTCCTCACCAGAGGAGAGTTGCCCCTGGGCACGGCCCACGCAATGCTGCGTAGCCAAGGACATGGTAGCCAGGCAGTGGGGACAAGACTCCGCCCTTGCACCCCATCACGTGCAGATGATGCTGCAGGGTGCGGGCAGAGGGCGTGGCCACCATGGAGCTGCTGGACTGCCTGGGTGACCTGTGGCGGGCTGTGGAGGTGGTGGGTGGTCCAGCGGGCATGGTGGAGCGGGGACAGGGGTGGGGAGGTGGTTTTTGGGTACTCGGTGTCTAAAAGGTTCGCCATCACTGTGCTAGGGGGTGGCTAGTGCTTCCCAGGGACTACAGCTTTGCTCTCCTTATTTTCGTACTCATTATTTTCATTATTCTGAACAAAAAAAATGCAGTCTTACTCTTTGTGTCTAGCTGGGCACGATACTTTTCAAATCCTTTAAGTCTAACCCGTTCTCCCAACAACTGAAGAAACTCTTCAAAGGCTGGGCCTGCTGATTCATTATTGTACATTTCCTCTTCTGTGCTTTGCCCAGACTTGCAGTACATGATTCCCACTTTCAGCTGATAGCTTAACTGTAAATACAAATAGAAGCACAAATTTGCATTCTTGTATTATCTGTGCTGCATCAAGAGGTACAAAGCTATTCCTTTCAAAATTTATCTGTTTTCCGTAATAAGAAAGCTGAGTGAAAAAAAATGAAAATGACAAGGTTCTATATATTTATTATGCTGTATTTCAAATTGCTCCACAAAATAATTCAGAGACCATTGGCATTCCCAATTCCAAATTTCACCCAAAAAAAAAGAAAAAGAAAAATACAAGTAGCCTCACTACTTTAAATCTTAGGTTTGAAAACATTGCTTTATTTTTTTCAGAATTTACAATAATTTTGTTAAAAGATAAATTTGAAGTTACAGGAAATACATAAAACAAGATGACCATTAATCTGACCCAGTCAAATCAATGGCAAGAATTCTTGAAATGTCAATTTATAAACAGCTTATATGTTAAAGTATGTAATTTAAGGTAATTAAATAATCAAGTTGTCCTCATCTAACTATATTACTACATAAAATTTACTAAAATAATGCTTACAATTGAAGTGAGTAACCAATGAAAGTGTAAAGAAATCTTTTCATCAGGTAATCTTTTCATCATTAGAAAGTTACCAAAAACTGCAATATGGAAAATAGATTAGCCAGGGTACTACTACCTTCTCACTAACCACTGAATTCTCACAAAAGCACCTGGTTTATTTATGATCACTTCATTATGTCTGCTTCAATTATTATTATTATGCTATTTAATATTATTACTGTATGCTTGACAGAACTAGAAGGATAAAGTCTATGGAGATTCTCAGTCATCCAGGTCATGGTTGTCCCAAAGATGTTTTTCCAAGAGGCAACTGGACTTTCTTGTTTTTCTTGGAAGATGCTTCATTTCTCATCCAAGAAGCTTTTTCCAAAGATGCTTCTTGGATGAGAAGCGAAACGACTTCCAAGAAAAACAAGAAAGTCCAGTTGCCTCTTGAAAAAGCACCTTTAGAAGGATAAAGGCACAGAAAAGAAGCTGAACTTTACAGAACAAAAAGAAAATATATTTATATCTAAAACAGACATTCAGTTAAAATGGGGAAAAACATTTGGAAAAGTCACAGTAGATTAAGTATGCGTGCTTGTGGTCTATGAGTGTATGCAGAGAAACACAGTGAATTCCTGTTAAAATAGGTTTCTAATGTTCTGACAGAGCCAAATATTGTTCCCCATTCTGAATACTCTTCAGAGCCCTAGTCATCAACTTGCCAGGGACCAATATATTGTAATAAAATCTGTTCCATCTTCAATTTCAGAATGCACAACCCCGAGGGGCCTAAAATCTACTGACTATAACAGGATGCCTCTCCCAACTTTGCAAAGCTTGAAGTTTTGATTGGCCTTTTGGCCATACACAAAAAGCTCAAAAAGCCTAAAGAGTTAAAGATGTCATATATTGCTTATAAAAAAGGAAAACAAGTAAACATTTTTAAAATTTGTTTTCAAACAGAGGATCTCAAAAATGAGGAAAAATTCTCTTGATTTTTCCCCCCATATACCTATGCTATAGAAAGAAGCATTCTCAGTACAACTTATTTTTTCAAGGAACATACTATATTAACATCTCCCAAATTGCCTTAGGTTCTCAATAATAACATTTGCATCATATATTGGACAAGCTTCAACTTTTTCATTTTCATCTACTCTTAAACTGATGATCACATATTGAGAATGAGTTGAGTATTATCCTGCTAGTGATTCTTAAGTCCAAAAATGTGGATGGTCTCTCCTATTTCTAAAATTAGCATAAAAACCCAAAATGGCATCATGTAATATTCCATAAGCCAAAATAGTATGTTAGCACTGTTTTCTGATGAAAACTTTTTGGAAAGAAAGATTCTGAAATAATTATGCAGCTCTAATTTTTCTGGCAGCTCAGAAAGATTCTAAAATTGATTAAAACAAAGGCTGTTGAGAACAACAAGCTAATTAAAATGATAACATTGTTCCTGTTCATCTCTTGAAAGGGTTAGTTCAACACAGCACAAAGGCAGAGAACAGGTATATAATACATCTATGTCATTAGTTTTATCCCAAAATACCTGAATTGAATGCCATTAACTGCAAAGCTTTGATTAATATGATAGAATTACAACTTTAAATTAATGTTTTACAAGCAGTACTAAGAACCTAATGAAGCTCATTGTTAAAATATATTGCGATGGTAGCTCAAATGTCATAGGTAGAAAGGCATAATTTTGAATCAGTTTCCTATGCAATGTCTTGCAGCAATGTATGAAGAAAATACTTTTTAACTGATAATATAATTAAAATAGTTATTTGTTTAAAACGGCTTGTATCTTTATCGCTATCTTGCAATATTTAGCTCCTCTATGTATCTGATTAAGTTATTTGAAAGCAAACTAATTCCTGAAATGTCTTATTCTTTAACATCAATATATGATAGCTTTATAGAACATTTTTAAGCTAAACAAAAAAAAAACCCCAATAATTTATTATTATAAGACTAACCAACTAAAAACCAAATACGTGCAATTTAAATATTACCCCTTGTTCGTCGAGTTTCATAAGCTGCTCTGTGACTTTGGGTGTATTGAAAGCCAACCTCAGGCAATGGATGTTTAGTTCAGGAACCACATGTTCTAGGACCTCTTTCAAGGGCAACCCTCTGGCTGTGCAGTGCTTTGCAGTTGAAGGTATTGCATCTTCCAAGACAGTACCTCTTAGCGTTGTAAGCTAGAAATAAAAAAAAAATTATATACCAAGTTGTGAGGAAAATGTGTTAGTAATACACAGTAATAGTAATAGTTTTTTTTTTAATTCTCCCACAAAGTATCAACTTAAATGGGATAGGACAATTCAAAATGTATTACTAATTAAGATGCACATTTGTTTTTTTTCTGCTTAGTGATAATATAGGTAGTAATAATAATAATAATAATAGTAAAGTTGGAAGGGACCTTGAAGGTCATCTAGTCCAACCCGGACGAGTCCGTCCTTTGGGATATGGTAAAGCCTGTTTACCGACAGGTCAGAGAAGAATTTTTGAAGGTCACAACCTCGTAAGTGGCGAAGACCTCCGTCCAACAAGGTGACCAATTAACAAGAGTGACAGTCCTAGTTTCTCCTTAGTTCTAGGTTGCTTCTCTCCTTGATTAGTTTCCACCCGTTGCTTCTTGTCCTCCACCACTGAGTCCAGGATTATGATAAAAAGTCATGGCAGTTGTTAAGGGAAGAACCCATGTGATTGCCTCGCTCAATGATCACAATCCCTGTTCTCCCTTTTGCAGTCATTAAGCAATTACACAGGGTGTTAAGCAGAACATGGGATGCCTTGGGGGGAAGCCCTGGGAAGTCTGATGCATGCCCAGGCATGCCCTGAAGCATCTGCCCAGCTCATATAGATCCGGCGCTGGGCCTTTATTCTTCATAATCATGACTTAAGCATTCTTGCCATCAAACAGCACTGTCCTTAATGCAGAACATATTAAGCTGTAATAATGGTGCACCTTTTTATATTTGCATAAAGGAAAGACACAAAATAACAAAAACAAAACAACATTTTCGTAAGACTTTAGGTTTGTGTCCTAAAGTGTTAAGCAAACTTTTTTAGGTGCTGGGCAAATATTTGCTCATTTTGTACAATGTAATGGCAATTCCTGACATAGTTTAAGGAAATGTATGTTTAGAGGTGCTAAAATGTAAATAATTAATCTTTCTATACAAGCAAAAATAAAGCCTTACATTATGTAAAAACTGCCCTTATTTTCCCAGTATATACAGTATATCCACAGCTATCATCATAGGTTAACACAATTTATGATTATTCCCCCGCCCCATTCTAAGAAGCATACCAAAGGCTGCCACTGAATCGTAAGTTGCACATCACTTGTGTGAGATTTCTGCCGAGTATTGTTAGAAAAACAATTCACTGTATTTTTAATTAGGTTATTTCTTATTCTTTCTTCTCAAAACATAAAATAACCATGCATAAGAGCATGTTGGATGACAAGAATCTTGGGATATTTAATTCCAATGCTGTATAAATTGAGAAAATGCTTTGTATAGGAACCACCTCTCTTTAATAAATCTTCTCTGAGTTTTATAAAATGCACAACCGTTTGCATAATATTAATTTACTGACAGCAATTATCCTCCCAATGTTTAGGCACGTGATTTTGTAAGAAGTTCAGCACAGAAATCAAATTTCTTATTTCTTTACAGCCCAGGCATCGCTTACCTCACTGGTTCTGAAAATAATGCGGTAGCTAAACTGGGAACCATTTTCTTTTATTTCCTCAGGTTTTTCTCTTCTGATGCTGACAGCTACGGGACCAAGGTTTTCATCTGCCCCAAAGTAGTTCCAGTGTTCTTGTGCAATTAAAATCAAACACGTATTTGGGGGATGGAGGTGAACAAATGAAAGGATAATTATGTTTCATAAAAGAAGGATACATATTGTTATCACAATATTTCTAGGTTTTAAGATTAGTTCAGACAGAACAATTTTGCTTTGAACACAAGTTCCAACTAAGCATAGACACAAAAACATAACATATTAACATGTGGATCAGGCAATCAGAATTAAACCTGAGCACCATCTAGAGATGTTTTACTTCAATTGTATCAAACTCAGAAATATCTATCATTATGATCAACTGGCTGCATGTTCCATTGTAAAATTCCATGGTATGCAATCATATATTCTTTTTTTCAAGTATGTTCATTCAAAAATACTCTAATCTAAAACCATCTTTCCTTTTATTCTTTCTTTTTTAATATACCAAACCAAACATTCCTAGATATACATACAGTATAATAAAACATAAAACACTTAAAATAAAACATATAATAAAACATACAAACTAAAGGCAATGAACTATCATTATTTGACAACTACCAAAATAGTTCCATTTCAGATGGAATTCGATTCAGGTCCAACTCATTTTGATTTGAAAAGCTAAACTGGTCAGACCTGGTTGATAGTTTTATGAGTAAAAAATAAGAAACACCAGACTACCGAAAACATAATCTCACAAGTAGGTAGCAGCAAAGAGTTCCCATATTTTTGCTAAAAAAATAAATGGATATGTCTTATAGTCACCAGGACTATAAAGTAAACTCAAAATATATTTTACATTACAGATAGACAATAATGTTGATGATACTCTGTTTATATAATAATAAGAGCAAGTTCTGTTTCTAGAACAATAAGAGTAATGTATGTACAACTGCTTTTTTAAAAATGAAAAAATAGAAGTCTGTTTCACAAGTTTAAATCTATAGGTATTTGCAGTCCTTCTTAAAAGTCTACATTTCATTATCACACTGAATGACACAAGCTCTTCTCAAAATTGTACATGTTTTTTATACAAATAGTCTTTGACTAGGACCATTTATTCAGTGACTGTCCAAATTTACAACAGCACTGAATCAATGGTGGTTACAATTGTCAAGAGTTTTGGCTGCCCCAGTACCTCTGTAGTCATGTGATCATGATCTGAATGCCTGGCAACCTGTTCACAACTATGATCAATTGCCAAGAGAGTTGTGATCAAATGATCGCCTTTTGCAACTTTCCATGCTGCCTTCTCCAAAAAGTCAAAGGGTGAGTCACTGGGGTAAGACTTCCCTACCTGAACAACCTCTCACTGCCCCTCTGTGTTCACACTGTGTCGGCCATTTGTGGAACCCTATGCATCTGCCCTGAACTGTGCAGGTCCCCTTGCAAATCTTCACACATGCTCACCAACCTACGAAGTATATCTCACACACCCTTGCCTATCTGCAGAGCATCTCTCATGCACCCTTGCCAACCGTCTCCCACACTCAGACCCACCCAACCTTGTCTCTCCCTCGCCCCCCCCACCAGCACCCACACTACCTGTGTGGGCCCGGGACTTGCAACTTCCAACCAGCTTCCTCACTGATTTTGGTTGTGGGAAGCTAAGAGGAAGTTGCCTCACATAATGAATGAATTGCTTAGTGACAGAAATTTCCATCCCGATTGCTATTATAAGTCAAGGACTATTTGTAATGTTAAGCTTTTAATGATTATAATATTAAAAATCATTTTGAATAATTTTTTTAGCTTGCTGTGCGCTACCCAGAGTCACTTGTTTATGAGATGGGCAGCCATAGGAATCTGATGAATAAATAAATAATAATAAAAAAAAACACCTCTCTTTCCCTTCCCATGTGGTTCAGGAACTAAAAGGCTTCTGCTTCTATTTAAATCAAGATCAAGAGTTGTGGCCGTTATTAACAAGCCACTTTAAAACACATCATCTTTAAACAGTTGTTTTTGAGGCTAGCCTCAAATTATATTAACCATAGTTAAAGTTAAATACAGTTCCCAGTCCCAAGCCACATAGTAACTTCACAGCAGAAAGCTTTCACAGTGAAAGCTTTTGGAAAAGAGAAAGATGAGAAAGAATGCAAGCCTATAAGGAAAACAGGCCCTTCTAGCTCTGCCATAAATAATATTGCAGTACTTCTTGCTCAGTATTAAAATAAGAAATGCCAAATTTGTAATGTGTGTCATAAGTTACAAGTAGCATATAATAGCTCTGTGTAAGGATTTACTCTGATANATGAGTTACTATGTGCCTCAATGGGCATTTTCAAAAGTCTGGAAAGACTTGAAAATGCTAGTGAGAGGCTTGTGAAGTTTAACTGCTTTTCTTTTCCTTTTTTTTTTTTTTAAGAAATGAGCAGCCTTCTATGCTTCTCTCAAATCTTTGCCAAAGCACAACATGCCACAGAAGATTTGTACAGCCCCTAGTAGATAAATAAACACTGTGCATCAAAGCAGTTCTTAGGTGAATGTTGAGTATACAGCAACATTTCCAAAGTAGTTAATAACTACTCACCTTTCTGATAGAAGAATTTCCGATAGTAATATGCACCGAGATCCACATGTTCAACAATGTACCTCTTAGCTCTGTCCAAGTGCAACACCAGATTTTCCTTGGGTACTTCAAGTACTGCCACTCCCGCATTTGTGCAATGAGAGCTAAGAGTAGACTCAAAAGAGGCACTTTCACAGCCACTAAAGGATCCAGAGTTAGATTTGGTGAGACTGATGTTTCTTTCTCCTTCTCCACCAATCTCATTACGAAAATACGGGCAACTCAACACAAGATCATTGCTTTTGTCATCTCCCTGGTCCACATTTAAAGTTCCTTTGGAATTCAGTTCTTCTGTACTACCCATAGGGGAATTAAAACTTGCAGAATGGGATAATGGTCCAGAAGCTAACGATGCAACCGCAGCAGCAGAAGCTCCAGTAGTTGTGTTCCTTCTTTTTATAACATTATGCCGGTTAACTGCCACTTCATTTAAATCAAATAATATACTCTGAACATCATAATGAGCAAAACATTTGGGGCACATCCAAGGCCTGACACTATCCTCTGATCGGCTGTCTTCTAGATCTGAAGTCTTTCCAAGATCTCCTTCACCTTTGGCATTACGCAGCTTGCGAAAAATAGAAGAATCTCCTGTCTCTGATTTTGAACGCCTCTTCAGTGGTTTCTCCCTTTCTTTAAAGAATCGAAGGTTCTCCCTGTGAGTAATGGGTCCATCTATCACATCCAAAGAAAATCCTGAACCTTTACTTCCACTAGCTATAAGGAGTTCACCAAATTTGCTGGAGGCTGAACCTCTTTGATCAGACGTTTCATCTTTATAACCTTTTAACAAGTCAAAAAAACTTTCCCCTGAGGTACCCTGCTTATCTATTGAGGAGGTGCTGCCATATTCTCTGTGCAGTGATGGGCCTGATTTGTAACTGGGCGAGATACATTCATCATAACTATCCACATCAAGCTCACTTAGGGTGATGTCACTATTACTACGCTGTCTTATTCTACGAAGAGCTTTTCTTGGGGAGCTGTGGTAACCATCAGGTGTAAGAAATCTAGAATCTAAGTTCTCAGATTGTCTTGCTTTGCTTTTAAGTGTGTTTTGGATACTCTTTAACATGACAGAATCACTACTGTTCAAATTAATTGAACTTCCCTGACTACCCGGGCTACTTTTTGAGGACATACTATCCAGACAGCTTGATGTATCCATTTCTTGACTTGATCTACTGTTTTCTTTGACATTCTCCTTCCTTGGAGGCCAGTCTGCAATCCTTGCTCTAACTCCCATTTTAGGAACTCCAGGTGTGGAAGTAAGATGATGTGATCCTTCATTGCGTGGAGGGCCCACTGGAGCCATCATGGAAGATCCCAAGCTACCATTCTGTGACCTAAAGCGTCTCATATAAAAGTCATCTGAATGTATCTTAGGGGTAACATCTGATATTCCGGTGGCAACAGCCCTTTCAGTCTGGGACCGTTTCAAGCTGGTCATTATTGGAAAGTGTGTTTAGTCTCAGTAAGCTCCAAAGGAAAATACACTCATTGCTGCCTTTTAAATGTAAAACTCTCTTTTGGAGAAGATCCTCTAGAAAGTATAACGGGTGCATGAGATCCCAGTTGTGATCATTTAATTTAGTGGCAAATGGTCTAAAGATGCTGTTCTTCAGTCACTTTTCACTTCTTTGGAATTGAAATTCATCCATTTTATCAAGCAGTCATCTTCCCCAAAATCAAAAATACTGAGGGTCAAAGCTTCAATATTCGCTTTAAACCTAAGGTAAATAAAGAAGTACATAGAACAATTAATCATTGCATAAAATAAGTTATAAAAAATAGAAAAGAAACTTACTACTTTCTCAGTATATTTTGCCATATGTATCAGTGAAAAAGCAGAAGATAGCTGATATCTTACAGTCTTTATAAAGAAAATGTATTTTTAATAAAGCGTATTACTATGATACTCTTCATCTTTCCTATAACCTATCCTTATCTTCTTATGACTATAACTTTGCTGCTTGTATCTTACAATTTATAGAGGTTTTTTTTTTTAGTATCCTAATATAATTATGTTGTTTGCTTAGCTAGTACTCCTTGACAGAGGTCCTCAACCTTGGCAACTTTAAGACTTGTGGACTTCAACTCCCAGAATTCCTCAACCAGCTTTGCTGGCTGGGGAATTCTGGGAGTTGAAGTCTACAAGTCTTGAAGTTGCCACGGTTGAGGACCCCTGCTCTATGACTATCACTAAGTGTTGCATCTTATGATTTATGATGAAGTGTTGTATTTCACAACTTAAGATAATGTATTTTCATACTGTATATGATCATGATTATCACTATTACCTGTATGTACATTGAGAGCTTATGCACCGGAGACGCTTGGCCAACCACACTTGGCCAATAAATAATTCTATTTTTTTAATATTTAAAGTAGATGGTTATAGAAAGTGTGCTACCATTTCAAACATAACAGATAGCTTAGTATGAATAAACCACATCCTAAAGTAAGGCTGTAGAAGTCAATTTTTTCATAATGCACTTCCCCATTTTTGTTACTTCCCCCCTTTTATACCATCCCCATATCAGATGTTATTTTTAAATAGATTGTGGAGGGGGAGAGAGGAGGCTGTTGAAGCAACATGGGAATATAAAATGCCTGCTTCAGGGCCAGTTCTCCTAACTTTGGAATCTGGTATGATACAGCCATTGTTGAGCAACATGTCATCAGCACTAGACACGGTCATTTTTATTTTTTCAGGTCTTTTCATTATTAATAATCTTTAATGTTAATATGAGATTGCTAATTTCTTACTGCTGCTTTTACAATTTATCATTTTATTCTTTATTTTATTTGTTCTGTTTTGTATGTTTTATAAAATACTTTAATATATGGTTTTAGTAATTATTATGTATGAATTAAATACAAAAAAAATATATACAATTTCAGTAGCAGTAATAATGTGTGAGCAGTTAGCTAATGACAGCAAAAAAGCTCCCTCAAGAGTCAAATTACATGTTATGAAAAACTTGCAAAAATTTTAAAAAATGTAAATAGAGGCTGCTGGCAGACAAAGAGATAGAATCTGTCTCTCTTGTATAAACTCAATAAAAATCTCCCTGTTACCCTAAAGACACTTTCTTATAATCATGACAAATAATTACATTTCTTTTAAAAAAGGCAATTATTGCCTTTGAGAAATTAATGAACTTTTTGACACTTAAATACTATATAAGAAGATATAGCGCAGTGATGGCGAACCTGTGGCACGGGTGCCAGAGGCGGCAGTCGGAGCCCTCTCTGTGGGCACACGGCCGTTGTCCCAGCCTTGCCTCCCCCCGCAACCCATTCCTCACCAGCAGCCCCCCCGGAGGAGAGTCGCCCCCAAGCGTGATCCACGTGGAGCTGTGCAGCCAAGGACATGGCAGCCAGACAAGACTCTGCCCTCATGCCCCATCGCGCACAGTTGATGCTGCGGGACGCGAGCAGAGGGCGTGGCTGCCATGGCGCTGCTGGGCGATCTGCGGCGGGCCCTGGGGGTGGTGAGTGGCCAGTTGGGCAGGTGGGGTGGGGGCAGGGGGTGGAGCAGGGGCGGGGCCAGTTTTTGGGCACTCGGTCTCTAAAAGGTTCACCATCACTGATATAGAGGCTGTAAGTCAGGTTTCCTTGATTAGCTGAGATTGTACTCAAAATAAGATGAATTTCTACCAATGCCATTTCTAAATGGAATTCTGTGGGTTAGCTCTAGGTTTAGAATCATCCTCGGGAAGGTGACTTCAATGGCTTCTTATTTGGTCCCTCTCATCTCTCCGTGTTATACTGATTTACCAAGAATCATCAAATGGGTACTGGGAGGGAGGGGAGGGAAAGCAGACTCAAGCACCTGTCTTAAAATTGCAACTTTTCCCCCATCTGACGTGGAGACAGTTCAGAAAGAAGCCAGACTTCCTGTTCTTCCTTTTGCTGCTAGGTAATGGTTTCCCGGAAAAGGGAAAACTAGAACTAGATATGGAATGCCTTTGCCTTTAATTTTAATACTTTGACACTCACCAACCACCTCTATCCCCCAATTATTGCAATTCTGGATAGCCAAAAAAAAATAATTATAAAGGCCCTCATTAGTAAAGCAACATACATGTCTGATGTATCGCTTGCTTATGCAATGATGTGGGGCAGTAATATGAATTACTGATTAACTTCCACTGATGTTTCAGATACAAACATGCATTCTAAACATTTTTTAAGAATAAAAAAAAAATCAGAATTATTTTCTAGGCTTGCATTCAGAGAAATGCATTTTGTATGTATAACCGAGTTCTTATCTCTTTACCAGTGTGGGTGGCTTCATGAACATCCTACAGACTGGTTCTTAAGGCCTGGATATATTCTAGAACAGGTTGGGGTGTGACACATGGCTGAAATCAAGCAGATAATAAATGTATTCGAAGTGTTTCTATTTTTATCCATAGTTATACTGATCTAAAAAAATGTCTGATGGAGAAAACTTTTAAAAAATCTTGTTATGTCTTTCCACAGAGGAATAAGTTGTCACCTTGCAACAGACCTGGCCGAAGCCATTTTCCTCGTTTCTGGTTGCCACAAGATAAGGGGGAGGAAAACTCAACTCTTGGAGTTCTGTTCTAATTGGTCTCATCTATTGGAACTATGGCATAAGTCAGAGGTAGCGAACCTATGGCACGGGTGCCAGAGGCGGCACTCGGAGCCCTCTCTGTGGGCACACGTGCCGTTGCCCCAGCCTCGCCTCCCCCCATGACCCCCTCTTCAGCAGCCCCCTGAAGGAGAGTCGCCCCAGAGCGTGACCCACGCGGAGCATGGCGTGAGCAAGGACATGGCAGCCAGGCAGCGTGGAGAAGACTCTGCCCTCACAACCCATCGTGCACAGTTGATGCTGCAGGGCGTGGGCAGAGGGCGTGACCACCATAGCGCTGCTGGGCTTCCTGGGCGATCTGCGGGCAGGTGGGGCGGGGGATGGGGTGGACCAGTTTTTGGGCACTCGGTCTCTAAAAGGTTCGCCATCACTGGCGTAAGTTTTCTGTATTCAAGATTTTTTGTACATTAAAATACGACTATAATAAACAAGGTATCTGTTTAATTCTGTTTATCTGTTTAATTCTAATTTTCACAGATGCTGAAATTAAAACTAAAAGAACACAATCTTTTCCTTCATCACACTGACCCTAAATTGAACATAAAATGCTATATTGTTCTTTTAAAGAGCTTTAACAACAAAACACCACCTCCACAAATGCACCCTGGCAGGGAGTAGACAAAGGCAAGAGGATGTCAGCATAAAATCCTATAGTGCTGTATACACCCTTTAATACAAAACAAAAGAGAGAGGCTCTTATTCAGACAGCCAACCAGTTACAGAACAAATGGCCTTCAAATACTTACCAAGTCTACGCATGCAAAGATGCTGCTGAACTAGCACCATGTTGACGAAGCAGCATTGTGTACAAATCAAAGACTCTGGCAGATCTAGGGAAACTAGCATTTGTGTGAGTCTCTTCCCATAAGTAACAACTGGCTTCTTCCATAGTAATTAAAACTCTAGGAAGAACATTTTCTGCCTCTAACGTTCACCCCATCTTAATGGAGAATTCTAAAATTAGTATACTGCAGAAAAGGGTAGCAGAGGACAAACAAGACTCATAATTGCTGCAATACTTTTGTTGCAGGCCCATAGCTCTTAAAGTGTGATGCAATATTCACATACTTTCAAATTTTCATTGTATCATATCATATTTACTCTGGCAACAGCTAGATTGTTATCAAAGTTAATCAAACAATCCATCTTTAACTAAGAAGCCAGTTTACTCCCAGCTTGAAACAGCGAATAAGAAAGCTCCAAAATTTTAATTTTTACTTTCAGAAAAGCTATTAATTTCTGCTACACAATTCAGATTTTTAAAACTTAAGTTAGCAAAAGTTTTGTTTTAAATCAGTAATTATTGTAAGTGACACTAGAGGCAGTCCTCCTTCAGAGGAGTCCACTAAAGGACTCCATCGCTAAGTGATATGGTTGCTAAGCGAAACATCAAATGACTGTTGAGAACTTACAATATCATTTCCCATTCAGTCATTCAGTGAGTAACCACGGATAATTAAATGAGACATTACATGACTGTGCCTTGTGATTTTACTCCCAGCTTCTCATTGATTTTGCTTCAACTGTTGAAAACAAGTTTTGAAGCAAGCAAATGGCAATTACATGACCATGGGATACCGTCAGGGCTTTTTTTCAGCCGGAACGCGGCGGAACCGCGTTCCGGCACCTTTTTCCGGGCCGGCCGCACCGGAAATAGCCCCTCCCACACCGGAAATAGCCCCTCCCAAATTTTACTTGCATTCCTGTTCTCTAAAGGGGCGGTCCTAGGGTTTGATGAGGGCGTGGCCAGGTTTGAGTTCCGCCACCTTTTCTCCGA